GGGGCGCGCGGCCGCTCTTCGGACTCCTCGGTTCTCTCCCGCTTCCCCTCTGCTCCCTTCGGGGGGAGGGGGGCGAGCCCAGATGTGCAGAGGTTTTACACCAACCCTGCAGCCTGGGCCCGCAGACCAAAGGTTCATTTAAGATACAGATCGAGAGGGCCCGGGTGGTTGGAGTCTCCTGACCTTGGTTTAGTGACCTTAGACCTGCCTTCGGCCCAGTCACCTGGTTCTGGTCCTTCCAGAATTCTCGGCCCACGTGCGGACACTCCGCCCCAGTTCTCATGCCTACCAGTTCCTATCGCCGTCGTCACACTCCCACTCGGAAACCCAGGTCTAACCCTCCCTTCAAATGCCACCGTATATTATTGCTTGTCTTTCAATATTTATTTCCTGTTTTCTCAACCTCCTTGAAAGGCGCTTGATGGACACAAAGACTGTATGTCTCAACCTCCCCCACACAGGGGGTACACACTGTTTATTGTAATGATGGTAAGTCCAGCAAGCTGTGTTAGACTGTCAGATTGAAAGCCAGAGGACAACTGGGCTCTAGGCTTACTTTTGCTAACTAACCCCAGGGAAGTCACTTATCTCCCTGATGTCTTTGGGTTCCTCATTTGTAAAATAAAGGTCATTGTTGGATTAATGAACTCTAAAGTCTCCTCTAGCAAGGAAATTCTGTGGCCTTCAAGGTTTCTTCCTGTTCTTTATGTACCTCTGATTCTGTAGCTCATTTTCCGGGTTCAGGTGGGACGCTGAGGCTCCCTTGTGTGGTTCTTTTATATTACAAAAAAAGTTTTATAACTATCACCTTACGTTGAGAATCCAGCGAAAATCTCCAACTACAGTGTAGTCAATTCAAGACAATATTCACTGTTACTCCCCCCCTCCTCCCCTTTGTGGTGGAACCAGATTTGAAGGACAGTTTTTATTGCTGGGATATAACATGTTAGAGATTAAGTAGTTAAAGCAGGACAGTCTCAAGCTTGTACAGTGTCTTTGTATGAGTTTGGAGGAAAAAAAAAAAAAGGAATTGCTTCCCGTGGGCAGATACAGAACCGTGTTCATGGACTGGTTTTCTGTCCCAGTTTGTGCCCTTGGCTGGGTAATCTTGTGCAATGAACAACCTGCCCAACTGGACATTACAGCCCTGACACAGAGCTTCAAAGATCAGAGCTCTTGATCCCATTTATATTGCTGAGTATTTGCTTATCAGTTTCTTCTCCAGTCTTCCTGTTGACAATGTGCAGAATATGAAATTGGGTATGAGCTTTGATTTATTTACTACTGATGAAAGTGTTCATTCTAATGTCTGGATGGCCACCAATATGTCAGGCATCTCTGTGTTAGTTTCTGATACAAAAGAGAAAGAGAGAGACTCAGTTCATTCTTTAAGGGCCTTAGAACCTAGTGGGGGATGCAGAAAAGTGAACAGGTACATTATAGTACAGTGTAAAGAGTGCTATAAAGGGGATTTAAAACAAAGGCATATCACAGCATTTAAAATATCTCTATCCCTTTAGGTTTCTTGATGGAACATAACCTACGTGTATCTGTTCAGATTATTTTAGCCAAATTTTAACTATTAAGTATAGTATAATTCCCACTAACGAATATTATCCTCTATAAAAACAGTTACTTCCTGTTCTGTATTGAATGAACTTTTCCATTATTTAAATGTTGTGCTTTTTAGGTTATATTGAGAAGATTCTCCTCTGTGGTCCATTGCATAAGGCCACACTCTTTTAGGTAGCATAATCGTTCTTGAAGATGTTGATCCTCAAAGATAATAATAATAAAAAAACCCACCTCAAATCATAGGCAGGAGAAGAGAACCCCAGATTCTCTCCTGACCTATCTTGGTATAGACTTCGGTGAGGAGAGATGCAATCAGTGTTTGTGGGAGTTGAGATTGCTTTTGCCCCTTGGAGGTGAGCTGGGGGCTAGAAGGATAGACCCAAGTAGTCGGTACCATGCTGACAGCGAGTAAAAGATACTTAAAAGTATAATATCTAATTTCTCTTAACTGTATGTGTTAATTTCCTTGTTATTCCTTAGCCATATCACGGCAAAGGCCACACAGCTGCTCTCAACTTTCTTTACTTTAAAGTCATTATCTGATTCTTCCTGCTATTATTAGTCTTTCTAGAGCATCTTTCAGGTCATATAATCCTGACAAGAGGGGAAAGGATTCCTCTATTATAGTCCCCACCTGTTGGAACAGGCGTCAGGTGGCTTCCCACCACTACATTATTAGTGTATGCAATTGACACAGCAGTTTCTGAACTTCCGTGGTTACATGGAAAGCCCTCTATTGTATTTTACTCATTCCCCAAGACCAAGCCTCCTTCATCTAAGAGAAATAAGCATGATTGATTCAAACTTCTGACACCTGTGGATCCATGCTGCTGCACTAAGCAGACGGATGTGGAACCAAACCTGAAGGTGTTCTCTTGGTGCAGGAGAGAAAAACAGGCAAAGCCAGCTGGTTTGTATTATAAAAGACTGAAGCAGCTCATCTGCATGTCCTGCCATCTTTCCTTCCCCATTAGGCATGTGGCAGGGGCTATCTAACAACAAGGGCCATCTTCCCCTCCCCACCTCTTCAGAGTTACATGTTGCAATTTGGTGTCACCTTTCCCTTTTCTTCTCCCATAAAGGCTTTCCTAATTGTTAATTTTAAAAACACACACATATCTTTATTGATTTCAGAGAGAGGGAGAAGGAGAGAGAGATAGAAACATCAGTGATGAGAGAGTCATCATTGATTGGCTGCTTCCTGCACACCCCACAACAGGGATCAACCCTGCAAACAAACCCCAGTTGTTAATTTTAAGCCATTTTCACCTGTTTAAAAAATGTTAGGGGTAGCCTTATGCCATGTAATTTATTGAGCCAATTACCCATACTTGCACTTGAAATGGCTTTGCCTAAAGTATATAATGAAATATTTAGAATGAAGAAAGAGGGTGGTCATATAACCATACACCTATCTGTTGTGTATCCTGTTTGATAAGTCATCCACCTCATTTAAAATTTTCTTTTTATTTTTAATATTACTACTTATCCAGTTTCTTAAAATGAGTGTGTTTTAGTCTGTTTCTCTGGCTATAACAAAATATCATAAACTAGATGACTTCTAAGCAACAAAGCAACAAATATCTATTTTTCACAGTACTGGAGCCTGGGAAGTCCGAGGTCATTGTGCCAATAGATTTTATGTCTGGCGAGGGCCTTCTGGTTAGTAGATGGTCATCTTTTCATTGGGTTTTCGCATGTCAGAAGGAGCTAGAGAGCTCTTTGGGGCCTCTTTTATGGGGGCCCTTATGACCCAATCACCTTCAAGGACCCAACTCCTAACACCATCACCTTAGGGGTAAGGATTTCAAGATGTGAATTTTTAGGAAGACGCAGAGCACAAAGTATCTTTGGTGCAGAGACAAAAATGGAATGATAACCTAGACGGAAGCAGGGAACATTCAGTGATATATATTAGATGCCTACTAAGTTTCAGGTACTATGTTATGCCCTACAGTGAAGCATTCACAGTCTAGAGGTGTCTTTAAATAAACCCAGAATGGCAACTTTTTCGTTCGTATGTGGAATATAATCGAAAGGCCAG